CTCTTCCCCCGTCCCACTGAGACCGGAGCCGTGGGGCTTCCCCCCTCCGCTCTCTCCGGCCTGGCCACGGGGACGCGTCCTTTCCCACCCCCGCGCCTGGGGACCGGGAGTTCACCGTGGGCTGAGGCTCAGCGCTGTGTGCTCCCCGGGCACCTGCCTGCCTGGCTCTTCTCGGCACTGCACGGGGATGAGCCGCGTAGGGGCACCTGCCCCATTCCTCACAAGGGTGATGATGTTTCAGGGCTGTGGGCCTGTGCCTGGGTAAAGGTGTGATGTTGCGTTGCAGCCACTCACAACACCTGTCTGTCCATCCCCCCCTTGCTGTGCCCTCACGTCTGTGTGTGCGCTTTATCCATCTGTTAATCTGACCACAGATGGTCTGAGCCTTGCCCTTATTGAAGTACTCTTAACTCCAGACTAAAGGTTTGCCAAAAAATAAACCAAACCCAACAGTAACACAAAGGGTTGTTTGTTGGTTAGCTTTTTCAGTTAGGTATCGGGTTCTGTTTGCAGTAAACTTAGGAGCTAATCCATAAAGACACATTTGGAAAATATGGTTATAAAAACACTTTTGTTGGATTTTTTGACAAATGGTGTATGAGAACAATGATAGCTAAGTGTCTTTGAAGATTATGTTAAAAAAGTACTGTTAAAAGTGAGTGATGTCTTCTGTTTATTCACCGTCAGTCTTGCATTTGTATCTGAAACCTGTGAAAAAGCCACAAGAAGGGCAAGCATATGCTAAGCAGATTTACTAGTTTCTCAGGTTAGCTCTTTTAGAAAACATGTTTTCATGGGAGAGGAGAGCACTCTTTTTCTTTTTTTTTTTTCCTCTCCCTTTTTTATCACCTTCACATGAACATTTTGTTTACTTTCTGTCATGTGGAAAGATATCTGGAGGTAGATAAAGTGAAAACTTTATCCATATTTAAGAAAAACAGTAAAAACAGTATATTTGAAGTAAACTTGAAAGTGTATTTATAGTAAAAGTATATTTAAAGTCCGAAAAATGAGGTATTCTGTGTGTACTCTGTGTGAATACATACTAGTTTAGTGATTTCTAAGAAAAGCTGTTAACAAAAACTTTTCAGAACACCTGCAACAGACGGGAATTCCACCTGAATCACAAGATAAAGTTTCAGTTCTTGATTCTGGACCAGAAATGGCTGAACCTCAGGTGGTTGTTGCTCCTGTGGTAACATCAAAGTTGTCTGCTAAAGCACCTGAGTTTTATCCATCAGGATACATCCAGAACTTCAATCAGAACTTCACAGTGAGTATCATCTCTTCTTAGTATACATTAGTTTACTTATATTCAGATTAACAGTGTTTTCTTGAGGTTTTGTATATCTGATAACTTCAATTCTGCATTTGTTGAAGAGATTCCAAAAATTCTACTTGCAGCCTCCAAAGTCAGTGTCAGTGAATGTTACGGTGTACACGAGAGCCTTCAGCATAGGACATTTTGCTAAAAGCTTGCTGCAGATAACCGCATTCCTTGTTGATTACACCACCCCTCAGAGTAAGCTGTCTTTTTGGTGACTACCTCTGTTATTGTTACACCTACGCTGCATTTTCAGTAAAGGCTTAGTTGCACTTTCATGCAGGTTTCACAGGTTTTTGAAGCAAGTGTGGGAGAAAGCTTCAACTTCAGTTTTTCTGAGCACAGGCTTTACCTTTCCTAAATTTACTGTGCCATGGGCATGACTGACCCTGGCTGCATCACTCAATGTACCATCATGTGTCTTTTAATTCCTTCAGTGGTATTGTATCGCCAAAGGGCCAAAAAGTAGAGTTAGGCTTGTTCCTAGCAGTTACCTACCTGCATGCCTGATATGAAACATATTTGCAGCCAGACTAAGGGTAATCTCTGATCAATGTGGTAGATGCATCATGTAATGAAAATTGGTACTTCTTATTTCCTACTCCGTTGTCTGCCATGTTATTGCTTCAGTAATTCTCCTGTAGGCAAGATCTGTGTGAGTTCTTGGAATATCCTTTTGTTATGCAAGCAGCCAAACTCTGGTACTATATACGAACAGGTGGGAACTATTACTTTTACAAATAAAAACAAATTATAAAAAACAATTATACTGAAACAAATAGATTTTTTTAATAATTTATAGAAAAATACTTCATTTGAATGCTGAATATGGTGGGGTGGTGTTTTGAAGTCTTTTCCTCAACAGTAAAATCAATGGTATCATAATGTTACCATTAAGCTTTGCTAGCTTACTGAATAGAATTACCATCCTGGATAATACAAGCCCATAGCCTATATACAGCTGTTAACAAAATGCCAACACAAACATGCTTCAGTGAATAGATAATCTAGGGGAAAAATAACTACTTTGCGCCAGTACATGTTAAATGTTTTCTATAAATAAAGGATTTCAGTTTAAAAACCAAAAAAGTGCCATTTGGAATGGCATACATAATGCATAGTTGTAATTACAAAGTTTTGAGGCAGCAATGTTGCTTTTCAGCTATTTTGCAAAACACACAAGCGTGTGGGGGTTCCTGGTTGCTATGTTGTGGGAATATGCTATGAATGTAACTCATCTACTAATAAAAATACCTTTTAAAATGCTATCAAAACCTAGAATATTTATTTGAAAGTATGTTGCAAGGACCTTAATCTAACCAGAATATACTAGGCATAGAACAGTGACGTTTCAGACTTTAGTCCTTCACTATTACAAAGTTTGGGCTTTTTTTACTTTAATGACTGAATTAATTTCAGTCTCACTTGCAATAAAAATAAGAAATTTAGCACACTACTATTACACAGATTTTGACCATGGGTTTTAAAATCTGAATGAAAACACAGTTCTGAGAAATATCTGGTTTTCTGACTTAGAATTAAAACGTTTTAGTTTTCATTTAGAATGTTCCCTGGAATTTTTAGATCCAGAAACTAATGTTTTTCTTACAAAATACCCAGTGGTTTTGCTACTAAGCATTTTAATTTTTAGAAATAAAGCACTGATTTCTTGTTTGATTGTACATTATTGTAATTACTATCTGTGTCCGTATAAAATTTGATTCTTACATTAGTTAATCTCCAGTTAGTTCCAATACTCAAAACTATCAGTTACCTTTGAACATAGTTTAAGGGTGCAGCATGCAAGACATACTACAATTTTCAGAGAAATTTTACCAGAACTCTAGGGAAGGAAAACCTCTGTGGGCTTCTCTGTTTGCGTGCAGTTGTCCATCCCATCAGAAGTTGTGGGTGTCTGCAGTAGAATTGGTGCCTAGATTTATGTTTGGATTGCCAGTAGGAAATGTCAGACGTGTTCTCTAACATGGGTGTATGATAATAATATGGCTGTCACCCCATCAGATGGGCACAGTGATGTTCTCACTGCACAGTTTTAGCAGTGAAATTTGTGTGAACTTAGGCAGAATCCTTCCTCCTCTGCTTTTTTTTTTTTTTTTTAGTAAACTTCAGTTAACTTCCAAAAGCAAGTGCCTCAGTGCTGGTTTTGCACGTTTAGCCAAGCATGAGGTTGTCACTTAACCTCATACAGCATGGATAGGTGATTTTGTATATGCAACAGTTTTTGTACTTAAGTTTGCAGTAACTTTATTGTAAACTTGTTTAGTGTGTACAATCTAAAAGGAAAAAAAAAAACAAACTTGTTCCTAAGAAGCCTGGAGACAAATCAAATCACTTATTAATTATTAGTGACTAAGTTCCTAAGTGAAAATATTGTGAATACTTACCAGGAATAGGAAAGTGGTAATTAGCACATGTACAGAAGCAAAGCCCAAGAGCAGATTCGGCTCATGGATCTTTTGACTTGCTGGTATTTCTGTAAACCAGAGGAGTTTTAGTACTTATTTAGTCTTTTCATTGTTATGTCTTTAAACTCATGAACTGACTCTTAGTAGAAGAGAGGCAAATGTATAATCTTTAAATGGATGACTCTTTTGTTGTGAATAATCCAGGATCCCAACCTATAGCTATCAAACGTAAAGAAGAGTCAGAGTTGGCTTGACTGAGAAATCACTGAACTTAGTGGAAAATTTCTAGTTGTCTTTTGTGGCTTTAAATCATAAATCTGTAATGAAGTTGTAAACTTATAGCCTCCTGTTAGCCAACTGCTGCTTAAAAATAATCAAGAGGGATTTGCTTTGTTTTCCCTTAGTTGATATGGTACGTGGTGCTGTCTTCTCTGTTAAATCTTAAAATCTGACAATGAGAAAGGCAAGTGCTTTATGTCTGGAAGTTACTGGGCTAAATCTAATTAGTTTTTAAAGTGTCAAGTGTTACTAATTCAGCAATATACAGTAGTATTCCAGTGTTTGAATTATTAATTTTTCTCTCCCATTTGTTCCGTTCCCTGGCATAGTTACTAAAACCCAGACTGCCTTTGGAGTTGAATATTTAGTACAGGTAGATGAACATGATTCAGAGTTTAGCCTCTGTGTTTAGCCTTTTAATTACAAAATGGGAAGAGGAGTACAAATACAGTGACATCAGTATACCAGATAGTACTGGGGCCCTTTCTAAAACAAGGACATTCTCCTACAAGATTGAATTCTTATCAGGTGAATATGAGAGGAAGATACTTTCCTCTCTGCTGAATAAGGATCTTGTAACAACCTGATGGCTGTCAGAAACAGCAGCTTCTTTTACTAGCTACAGCAACTGCATTCCCTGCCACCTGGCTGGAGGGTTTTCAAACAGGTTATTTGGAGAGATGCTAGTTCAGCTGTCTGTGATTAAGCTGCAGTTGTTGCACAATAATGTCATAGTTCTGTGGAACAAAATAGTTCAACTTTATTGTATGGAACTTTCACTGGGCTTTAGGCTGGAAAGGACCTCTAAAGTTCCTCTGTTCCAGTCACCAACTCAAAGCAAAACCAACTCAGATCAGGTTGTTGAAGGCTTTATCCTTACGAGTAGTAACAATCTGCCATTGTTTCCACAAGCCCGTATTTATTTCCTGTTTCTGACAGGCAACATTAAGTGACTTTGTCTGTAGTATTATTCACTGGACAAATATTCTACTTAATTGAACATTATAGGAAATCTATAGGTTTTCTTCTGTTATACTGATGTGTGTCCCCCTTCGCTTAAGTTGTGTGTCCTTATGACATGGGTCTTTGAGGAATTTTGGAAAATTTACTTTTTTCCCCACACATTATTCACAGGTCATGTAATTAATTTCAATATTTGATTTTCAGCAATGTGTATCTATTTCTTTCTCCACAGTTCATATCCAGATAGAAATCTTTCACAGATCCATGTTGCTTCACAGTAGAGGAGAGACTGAGGCATTTTGAAGACAGAAAGTGAACAACATCCCCTCATCAAGGGAGGGGTAGTGAGGAGACGGATAAAATAATTATTAACTTTATCAATGTGTTTATGTCCACTAAGAAAAAGTATTTTTTCATTTTTAGCTCAGGTTTTCATTACAGCAGATATATTTTAAACCTTTTTTCTTGTTAAATAGTAGATCAATTGATAATTCCTGTAATCTGTATGTTACCCTTATGTCTTGAATCACTGTAGCAATCCTTCTTCAGGCTCCTGCTTGCACTTCTGAAATCTCATATCAAATGCTTTTCACAAAGTGAATTATTTGTTCTGTTATTACTAGTGACATCACAAAGTTTGCTGCTTCCTTTGCTGTTCCCCTCATATACTGCTAGCATTGTAATCATCCAGTACAGTGTTGCATTTAGATACTATTAGATACATTCATTCTGAATGGACAAAATTAGAAGTCTTCTCTTCCATCAGCAGGAGCATAAACATCAATAAAGGATGGAATTGTGCTAGCTCGTCCTTTCTGTAGGGAGCAGGTGTGTTTACTGTCTGGTTCTTAACCTCAGTAGCTGCAAATTAATGCAATACCATTTGAATAGTTTCATTTCATGCCTTGTAATCTTTCATCCATTGCCAAGAGATGCAAATTTGCTGACTTTAAAAGATTGCTTCTCCTGACTATATTTTCTGCCTGGGAGTGCTGCCCCATATCTATTGTGTTTCTGCGATTTCTCCACCTTCTGCACATTTTGGAGCACTATACACTCTGTGTAAGACAAAAATATTTTGTTTCAAATTTTCAATTATTTTTCCTTCTACATTTCGTATATCTGCAGCACAGTTTGTGTGCACATCAGAAATGGGTGTTGAGCCTCAGTTTTAGTTTTATTCTTAATAGATATACTTACTTATTAGTTTGTTAGTTAATCTTGCACCCAACTTGGCAAACTGATTTCTTTTGATGTGTTCTGCTGGGAGACCCTAATCTCTATAAAAATGTGTTACCTAGTTATTTAGATGATAGGACTACTGGAGCTTTCTGATGCATTGAGGTCCATGCCATCTAAAAATGTTGAAGTGAACTGTGTAATAAAGATCACTATAAAGTATGCAGACACCCAAGACTAAGGGCTATATGGTTACTTCTGGAGATAGTAAGTGTAACACCATAATTTTAGATTCTTTTTAAACGGTTGGTATGTTCTTTCACTGCTATAGGATTCTTCCTTTGAAGACAGATACGATGGCTATCTGACTTTGGCAGAATACGTACAAGACTTCCTAAATCACCTCACTGAGCAACCAGGTTGTTTCGAAACTGAAATAGAACAGTTTGCTGAAACACTGAATGGCTGGGTCACTGCAGATGAAGCTTTACAAGAACTTGTTGAACTCATCTATCAGCAGGTAGCTTGTGTATTTTTTCTTATAACATGGATGCTATGCCTCTGTTACCTACTGTCCAAGATGCACATACCAGTATTACTTGTTATGAAACTGAATCTATGTAGTAATTGGTTTGAATTTGTCTTTTTAAATGGGAAAGATTTTCCTCAGTAAATTGGCATGGCCGCTCAAGCGTGGGATACCTGGATGGTTGATGAATTTCCTCAGTTTATTCTGTTTCCTTTATTGTGTATTGTCTCCTGGGTCACATACTACAGTTGAAATTATTGCCCTTATTTAAGGGGAGTTTTATTTGAATTGCTGTATTTATATAGTGGAGATTGAGGAAACTCTTAAACGATATCAGAGTTGGACATTTTTTACTCTATCCTTCAAAAAAATTGCTTCATAATACTTAGATACTCTTAATTCTGTGGTATTTTAAAAAATTAAATTTATACTTAGTGTACACATCACCCTTTGGGAAATGTTCCTTTATTGACAGGCTTTCTTCTTCATTTGGAATACTTATTTCAGAATAGCATAATTGGAGGAAAGGAAAGCTCATCTAATCATAACTAGGTCCAGTCCCATTGATGGCCATGGAAATGAGGACAGAGACCTTGAGCTGAACTCTGTACTAATTGGGGGAGCCACTGGAAAGAACAGCTTAATATGTGTTGCCTCGCAAATGAGCTGCAGTTACTGTCTTTTGGGATTGCTGCAGGGAATGAAGTCACACTTGTGCTTCCTATTTATTACATTGGGTGTCTCTCACTTTCATGGGTTGGTTGCTTTCAATGCTGCCTTGAAAAATACACACTTTTTCACCTTTTAAATGCAGATACTTGCAGAATATTTTTACTGTAAAATAATCAGGGGTATGTAGAAGCTGCATGACTCGTTGGGCGTTGTACAGTACTGTAGAGACTCACGTTTCTTACTGTCATACAAAATTGATGCACACTGGTGAATTCAGAACAGTTTGGTTAGATGTTAAGATTACCTGTGCTATGTTTGGCAGCATCCTTTTCCCATTCTTTATTTGAACACATGGAGGATAGTTAAAAAAAGATCAATATATTCCATAGAACTTTACTGGAAGAAAGAAGAATTTATCTCATTTTTAACTTCATATATGTTAAATACATTGAGTCTCACATCTCTAATGTTGCCTCTTCCTCTCTCCCTCTAGTTAAAACAAGTCCAGTGTTAGGGTTGGCTGTGCCTTCTTCAGCTGAGAAGCATTGAGTGTTATCACTGTGAAATTATGTGAAAAATAAAACTTAGAGCAAAAAAACTGTGTTGTTGTCCAAAAGTATCCAATTTTGGTTTCGTTGTATGTCAGGATAGGATAGTGTTTGAGTGTGTCAGCTACACTGAATATTGTTCTGTTTTGAGCAGAGGCTCAAGTATTTGTGTTTCCTGGTTTATCACAAAACAATTAAAATTGCTGAAGTGTATTTATAAGCATCTGCTTCAGTGATGTTAATTAACCCAGTTGAGCAGATTTACCGATGCTAGGTTTGTGAGGGAAAAAGACTAAAATGAAGGAAACCTAAGTCCTGTACCCTAAGTCTTCTCTTCATCTATGTGTCAGGTATTTTAGCCTGTCTGTAAGGATCAATTATATACTTCCTCTGTTCTTTCTAATCCATTTTTGTTAGTGAAGTGCCAGTTCTCTTGTTTTCCAAAAGTTGAACACTCTGACTTCGTAGCTTAAGAATCTTGACTGTTGTATAGTTACTACAGTGGATTGTTGCTGTTAACAGCAACTAAAATTTCTCAAGATACGTATTGGCAGGATAGTCTTCATGCTTAGATTGTGACTTTTTTGAGTCAGAGATAAACTAGGATTACCGGCAACAATAATTCAGGGAAGGTGATATTGCTTTGTAATGATTGGTTATTAAGAAGATGTAAAGTGGGGTTTTTTTGTTTCTATGTGCTATGTCAGGTATAATACCTAAAATTTAATTGTTTCAGTATTTAATGCAACCACAAATACAGACCAGCTAATTAGGACAATAATGTATAAAAAATACAGATGAGGCTTGAAGAATGTGTGTATGTATGTGTGGTTTTTTTGTTAGGAAAGAGAAGTGTAATTTAAGTGATGTATTTTCACCTGTTAAAAAAGGAGGCACCTCTTCTAGTCCAAGCAACTGATTGAACCAAAGCACCAAAAAGCTCATTAGCTATTTCACATGCATCTTACTGGAAACTAAATTCTATTTGACTACCTTAATTACTTAAACTTGTTGTATCTTCCAGAGACACTTTTTTCCAGCGACTTTATGCTCATAGTACAGTTACATTGAATGCATATTTTTCTCTACCTGTGTAGATGGTAACTAGCTATAACGCGTTGACGTCCTAATGGCAAAATGCTCTTTTCACACGTTAGAAGCAGAAGCATGCAAGTACATCGATAGTGCTGATAGATGATCAAGATTTAAAAGGAATGTTTGAAGATGTTAAAACAATAGGAGAAGTTTAATTAATTCTTAGTATCCCTATTTTCTTTTTGGCAGAGTTGATGAAGTTACTTACATCAGAACCTCTTTTCACTGAAGCTGTATATGAGAAATAATATCAAATTCAGGTGTTGTTATAAGAGAGTTGAAAACACGTGAACTCTTTGCCAAAATTGCCAGAATAAATTGCCAAAATAAGGGGATGTTCTGCATTAAGTTCTTTGAGAGGTTGAGTGTAGACACTATTGAATTCCCAATTTCTTCCACCTCTTGAAATTTTGAAATATAAAATTTAAGGCAAAATATCTCCCAGACAGTGCATAACTTTTGTTGTGGAATTTCATTGTTACCACCTGGTTTTAGACAATAAAAGTGTAAATATTCAGTAACAGGACTTTTTTTAGAAAAAACAACCTGTCAAGAGCTATTAACTGTAATGATACAGTTTTAACCTCGGAATCAGGAGCTTGCTATTCTGCAGATTGCTGGAGCGTGTACAGGAGAAAGTATTTCTCTTCCCTTGTCATGTCCTTGTACTCTTTCCCTGGGCATTCACTATTGCCAAAAATAGATTATGGGATAAATAGCTCTTAGACTGAATGAAGGCAACCTTTTTTTAAATTTTGTTTTAATGTACTCATTGCTCCTGGAGAGAGTGCATGTGCTTGAAAAAGTGTCTTGATGTCCACTGTTGATTTTTTTGTATAAACAGTTTGTAAGTGATTTTCAGTCAATCTTTGGTGCTGGTCATAATGGAGAGTTAGAGTTGAGGACACACAACATAATAGTGGTTGTTTTCTTAAAGCCACAATATCATGAATTTTTAAGGGCTGAAGTGCGTAGAGCAAAGTGTTGATGAGATACAAAAATTAACTTGTCAAATGGTAATTATTAATCTTCTGTTCTTCAATTGTTCAATCAATTGTTGTTAAACACAGTTTTCAAAAAAAGCTTTAAAAGATATTTCCTGGTAGCCTAATCATGAGTTTTATTACTAATTTATTTTTCCACTTCTGTTTTGGAAGGCCACATCTGTCCCAAATTTTTCCTACATGGGAGCACGGTTGTGTAACTATCTATCTCACCATCTAACCATTAGTCCACAAAGTGGGAACTTCCGGCAGTTGTTACTTCAAAGGTCAGTATAAGCACGTCATTTCAAGCCTGTTATTTTCTCAGGTTACATGTCTTCCTATTTTGTATATAACTCTTAATGTCAAAGAGGTATATATTTAAAATAGAAGTTTAGATTAAGGATTATTAAAGCACAGATACATACTGGATATTGAATACTTTTAAAAAAAATTTGAATAGTTTTAAATATGAGAATATTTAAAACTCCATTTGGAGTTCTGTAGAGTCTTTTGAACTGTGTATCTTAGATCCCAAATTACAGGGTAAATTTGAAAGCTAGTCAAGTTCAAAAGTATACTAAGTGCACGTATGTGTATTGTCCTTTGACTCTTGTTAGGACTCATTTCAGTGTGTTTTTTTCTTTAATTACTTTTCCAGTTGGAGTTGCTGTGTAAAGTTTATTCATTGATCAACCAACTGATTTTGTCTGTGAAGTCGATGCATAAAATCCAGAAGGATAAATTTCTTAAATTTTCAGTTACTGGAGTTCTGAGGACTTATGATTTGATAATGATTAGACTTTGTAGTGGACAAAAATGCAAAATTTTGTAAAAGGATGTTTCCTTTAAAATCTTGCTGCATCTTCTCTGGGCAACCTGTTCTAGTGTCTCACCACCTTCACAGTAAAGAATTGCTTCCTAATGTCTAATCTAAACCTACCCTCTTCCAGTTTTGAGCCATTACCCCTTGTCCTATCACTGCACTCCCTGATAGAGTCCCTCCCCATCTTTCCTGTGGGTCCCTTCAGGTACTGGGATGCTGCTATAAGATCTCCCTGGAGCCTTCTCTTCTCCAGGCTGAACAGCCCCAACTCTCTCAGCCTGTCCTCATAGGAGAGGTGCTCCAGCCCTCGGATCATCCTCCTGGCCTCCTCTGGACTTGCTCCAACAGGTCCATCTCCTTCTTACATGGGGGGCCCAGAACTGGACACAGTGGGGTCTCATGAGAGTGGAGTAGTGGGGGAGAATCACCTCCCTTGACCTGCTGGACACACTTCTCTTGATGCAGCCCAGAAAACAGTTGGCCTTCTGGGCTGTGAGTGCACATTGCCAATTCATATTCAGTTTCCATCCACTGGTATCCCCAAGTTCTCCTCAGGGCTGCTCTCGATCCATTCTCTGCCCAGCCTGTATTTGTGCTTGGGATTGCCCCAACCCAGACGCAGGACCTTGCACTTGGCCTTGTTGAACTTCATGGGGTTTGCATAGGCCGATGTCTCAAGCCTGTCAAGGTCTCTCTGGATGGCATCCCATCCCTCTAGACTATCAGCTGCACCACTCAGCTTGGTGTCATGAATTATGGATCAGTGTCACTTAAAATGGTGAGGTAAATAATTTATTGAATAAGTGTCAAGACATCTAAGACAATGTGGGCAGCACCCTGAAAGGGCAAAAATGTATTTCAGAGAGTACCTATTTTATTTCTGTGGCTGTTTGGCTGCCTTTGTTAAACTTCCTGGACCCATATTCTAATACATAAGCTGTGTAAATGTCTCTTAATTTTTGTATGTTCTAATTTGCTCTGTTTCATTTTTCTATCTCGGATATCTCCGTGCTTGAAAACGTAATCATGTCATCATATGCATTCATCTAAAAGGACACAAATCCATAATGTCTTTGTCTCATTTTCTTCACAAACTATACTTCCCAGCATTCAGCATTTAACAGTTTTAATGCAGTTCATAAGGTCTTATCATTCTGTTAAATAAGTAGCATGTTACATATGTTGGGATGTCTACAGGTGATATGATTTTGTTTTAATGCTTACAGGTGTCGAACAGAATATGAAAACAGAGATGAAGCTACAAAAGGAGATGAGACTACTCGAAAACAATTTCATGCCTTTGTGCTGTTCTTAGCTGAACTCTACCTTAACCTAGAGGTAAGAAGAAAGTTGCATGCCAGAGGTTCTTCATTTATTTTTTTGTTGTGTTTAGGTAAACACTGAAATGCAATATAATTGGAGGTGTTTTTCTAAAGGGAGAGGGGAATAAAGTAAAAAAAATTCGTAACAGTTTCATTATAATGTGTGTCCAAGAATCAGATTTTTTTAAATGCACAAGATCATTGGAAAAGAAATGTATAAAGATTACTTTTTTTTTTTAAAGTATAAGAATTCATGAAAAGAACCAACCATAAACCACCTTTGGAATGAAGCTTTTGGTGTTTACTTTTGTCTGGCAAAACCCCTAGATGATTACTTTTAACCAGCATAGGAAATGTTACAGCCTAGCAGCAGCAGATCAGGATCAGTAATCCATGTCATTCAGTATCCAGCCACTAATAGAAGGTGTTATCAAACCCTTAAGGAAGGTGTGGAAGTCCTCAAAATGAGCAATTAAAAATGCAGACCTTTAAAAATATTTCTCTTGAACACTGAGTCCTTGGCTTGTGTATGAAGCATGAAATCTTGTATTTAGATTGGTTTTTTTGTAACTCTGATAAGTACAAAAAGTATATGTATACTTCTTTGACTCTCATATCTGTGAGTTCAGTTAGTTCACTAACTGCTGTAGTGTACTTAAAATATATCTTTGACTGGATTATTTCAATGGTTTGATTTAAGCAGACACTATAAAAAGGTTCTGCTGGCATAAGGAAATAAATAAATTTTCTGACTCTTGCTTTTCTGTTCATAAGGGGGCCTTGAAATGTGCTTTTCACTCGCTAGAAGTAAAAAGGAAAATTTGCAAAGAGTTTGGGGGAGGGGAAGTTGTCCAGTTCTGTGAAGTATACCATTTGTTTTCAAACTGTTTTCTTAATTTTTTAAATACCTTTTAAAAGATTTATCTTCTAGAAGTAAACCACTACAGCTGTAGAGAATACATAATGTTGAAAGAGTATGGGGTGCTAAGAATTTGGGATTTTGGGAACCATTTGTCAGGCATTTGGTAGCTTTTCTGAGCAATTTATTAGTAAAGAAACAAAATACTAGACATGCATTGTTACGTATATATCAGAATTGTAAGTTACAGTATTTGGCATGTTCTTCCAACTAAAGAGCTCAACTATGTTGATCACAAACCAAATCATACAGCATCCGAGAGAGAAAATGTGACTAAATTAATTTCTAAAACTTAAGTCTTTTAAATGTGGTTTGTTTGGATTTTTTTAATATATATTTTGCAGATTAAAGGAACAAAGGGACAGGTAATGCGAGCAGAAATTCTTCAAGAAGGCCTTCGGGAATTACTAAATGCGCTTTTCTCTAATCCCGTGGACAGTAATTTGATATGTGCAGTGAAACTGCTGAAGGTGAGACTAGTTTTCAAAGAAAAAAAAAAAGATTTTTAACATTCCTATCTTTGGGAGCTGTGGGGGAAGCTGCAAATAAAGAAGTGTTTATAAGTTTTAATGCATTGCATCATTAGCAGAACAAACTGTATTTTTTTTTCCTTCCTCTTAGTACCATTATGAAATTGAGACAACAAAAAAATAATGTTATTACTCTAGAAGTAAAATGCAAGGTTGTTTGTGTACATACAAGAGCAATAGCACTGAAGTAAGGTGCAGAGGAGTGGGCAGTCCCTTCAGGTCTCCTTTTGCTGTGAGCAGTGTGGGAGAGAACAGTAACCAACTTGAAGGAATGGTGGAGTTTTGTGTTATGTTCTCTGTTGTGAAGGACACGCAGCAGTTAGGGTCTACCACTTTTTGCCGCAAAAGTTTATTGATATCAGTTACTTCATACTGGATTGTTTGCATCATTACTACTGTAGAAATTTATATATTTCTGTTTTCATGATGAATACAAACCTCTTTGGTCTTAAGTTTTACATTTTCTATAAAAAAATGGTTAGCTTCTATGCAGGGAGAGACTTTTTATCTTCACTAGCCATGTTTATATGCATAGTTGGAAGAACACAGTTTATCTTAGGAATGAAGGTCAAAAGCTAAACAGTATTTTTCTAGAGTTTTGTTTATGGGGTTTTTTTGTGGTTGGTTTTGTTTTCCTCATTCTTTCCTCTTCCTTCCACTCGCTATTTTTCAGACTCTTCTGTCTTGAATTCCAATTCTGGCAGCTTCTTTTGATATGGTAAATAGAGAAGAGAGGTTTTACATCTTCCAATTTAAACCCTTAATTTGAAGTTTGGATGTTTAAGCAGGTTGCTTGTAGCAAGTGTGAGGTTGTGTTCAATGAGCACATTCACTCGTGTAGTCAGTCCTTATGTTGGTAGTGCTTCCCTGAGGCACAGCCCACTGAAGGGCCTTTCAAAAAGGCAGTACACAAATCGGGAAGCTTTCTGGTGCTGCTGTTTTTTGTAATGGTTCTCCAAAGAAGATGGAAGTCTACCTATTTTAATAGATATATATTTCTTGGAATATTTATTTTGCTTTACAGTATCCATTCTAAAATGAAAGACAGTGATCTAAATTATTTTCTGACACACTGATAAATCTAAAAGGTGTTATAGAGCAGCGATACTTTTTTTTTTTCTTCATAAAAGTGTTTTCTGATGCCTATAGTATCTACAAATGTTGGAGTATATCTGTAGATAGATTGGGCTGTCTTATTAAACCTTGGTTCCACTACTGAAACACCAAACGTATCCTGTTGTCTTTTCTGTTTACTATAGTGATAGATACAGGTTTTTCACCTGTTTGCTTTGCAGTAGGTTTATTTTTAATTAAGCCTTCTTGGTGCTATGATCTGATAAGATAGGATCAAGAAAACTGGGAATACCAAACAAGTGCTGACTAAGATGCTTACTGTCATCATTGCATTCTATTTCTTTGTATCATCAAGTGCCATTCCAAGCATTTTTGGACCATGTAATATTTATGATGAGTAAATCAGGAATTGCTATTAACTTTTGATTGTAGTGGAAAACTTATTTTTTTCTGATTTAACTCCTACTGTGCAATTATTGGTCAATGAAGCACCTATTCATAACATAAAGGGCTTTCATTCACAGCAGTTCTAGACTGCCTGCTGCTGAAGCTCAGATTTTATGTGTTAAAATTCAGGCTGGCTTGGTCAGATAATTCCTGCCTCCTGTTATATATACCCAGATAAAATTCTCTGGCAAGTCTAATGCTAGCCAAGTTGACTGAAGTTTTTCTAAAGTTTATTAAACTCTGTGTTATTCTCTGATAAGCTGTGGTATCATCTGCAAAAATAACATCTCCTTTTTGATAGCATGTACTTAAGTAAGATCTGAGAAATGTCACTGAAGAGTTGTTTCAAAATTATATTTCAAGACTGAAAGGAGAGAAGTGCTTGTGAACTTCTAGGTAACAAACACCAGACACAGAGCTTTCATACTGTCTGTAGTCTAAAATAAACTATTTACAAGGTCTCTTAATCAGCAAAAAAACCATGCAGTTTGGAGCTTCAGCCCTCACACAATGCATCTAAATGTTTCAAATTGTTATAGAATCTCTTAAAGTTATATCATTTTCTTAAAAAAAAAAACCAAAACAAACTAATCCCTTGTCTTTAGTTGACAGGCTCAGTTTTAGAAGATGCCTGGAAAGAAAAAGGAAAGAATGATATGGAGGAAATCATTCAGAGAATTGAAAATGTTGTGTTGGATGCAAACTGTAGCAGGTGAGAAGATAACTTATGTGCAGTATTTTGTTTTTATATTAAACACGACCTTCAAAATCTTCAAGAATCATGAACATGTGCAAAACTTTATCTTAAAAACTTTTAGTTATGAAAAGTAAGGTGATATTTGGGTCACTTCCCATGTTAAAAATTAAAAAAAAAAAATTTTTTTTTCAGTTGAAGAGTTTGGTGGTTTGTTTCGGTTTAATTTTTTTTTGTTTTATCTTTTAATAGATATGCATGCTCCACTCTAATAGTTGGGGTTTTTTTAACCTCTAGGTCTTGAAACGTTACATAAGTGCTTTAGGCTCTAAGAGACGATCGTAGAGATATCTCATGGTTTATTCTTTTAAATCTGAATTTAACAGTATTAAGTATATACAAACAGTATTAAATATGTAGCAGTATTAAAGATATAAAAACCACTATAAATGTAAAGGCAAAATGGAATATGCTTTGTGGCTTGGTTTGGCGGTGGGGTTTTTGGGTTTGTTTTTTTTCTGGAGAGCATTTAATCCTACCTGTTTGGCAGGATCTCTACTGCAGTCTGAAAAAAAAAATGAGTGACTGGCTAATGTATTCTGATTCTCAGTTTGCAGTCAGCTGGGTGCATGAGGTTATCTGATTCTGCTATACTTCAACCTCAGCTTCTTGCAAACTTACTAAAAACTTATAGATGATTCAGATGCTGTGACCTGAGCTCTTGCCATATGGATGGAGGCCAACAGGTAGCTCGTAGCCTCTGGGTTGCAACTAAGCTGCCCCCAGGGAGGATGAGGAAAATTTTGCTTCAGAAACCAGAGAAAATTGATAGCACAAGCTGACGCTTTAAAGACACGGAAGCACAAACTTATTATAATAGAGAAAACAACTGAAGATTTTTATTTATTCCTTAATGAGACTCTTCTCCATGGACTTGCTTAAAAGAAGAAAGCAATTTATCTTATTTTAGGGATGAAATGGGTGTGGTGGTATGTACTGCACGGGAGACATTGCTTCTCACTGTGAACTGCAAAATTTCAGTGTGACTAAGAGGGCTAAAGTTAGGAGCATAAATTAGATTATTAAAATACAGTTTGAAGATCATCCCCGTTTTTCCCAGTACTATCTTTTTGTCAGAAAAGGATTTGTTCCTCAAGCTTGTGCTGCTGGTTTAGTATCTTGATAAAAAACTATAGCCTCTTTCATATGGGCTCCTTACTTTACCTCAGTGGAAGTAGAGTGGGCGAGTATCTCATAATTGACATGTAAAGCATGTAGATCTGCAGGGGGAAAAAAGAAATCAAAATTATCTGTAGATCGGTCAAAATGTTGTCATTTTTAGAGCTCTTGGTGGGGGGGATTTAACTATATAGTATTTGCAAGATAAGAGAAGCCAGTTCCTTGCTTAGCACCAAACATTCTAACTTTTGTAGTGCTTCTCTTTGTTTCAGAGATGTGAAACATATGCTACTGAAACTAGTAGAACTGCGATCAAGTAACTGGGGTAGGGTTCATGGAACTTCTTCACATACAGAAGCTACCCCTGAAAATGACCCAAACTATTTTATGGTAAGAATGTACGGACACTTCGGTTCCTTAATTTAATGTGAATATAATTTGATTCATAGACAGTCACATTGCTGAAAATTACAGACAGCTGTCTCTCTGAGTGCATATAAATAACATTGTGTATGACTTCATTATTCTTAGAATGAGCCAACATTTTACACTTCCGATGGCGTTCCTTTCACTGCAGCAGATCCAGGTATGCCACAAGCTTAGTATACCTGTCTTCTCAATCTTTAAAAAGTTGTAATTAAGTTTATATCGTGCTGAAATACATAAAAAGTTCTTCAGATGTCTGAAACTCATGCAACTTAAAAGAAGAAATTATGTCTGAATTCCTGGCTTTGTGTAACATATGCCTGATTCTGAATTAAAAGGTGATAATATTCTCCATTTCAAACATTTTATGGATTTGAGTTCATGTAGTTCTTAAGAATGTGTTGTAGTTCTTAGCACTTGGTCTCTCCAGGAAGCCAGAAATTTTCAAGTCTTCTTTTGTTTGTCTGTTGTTAGTAGCAAAAGGGTTTGTTTCTTACTTAGTTTCTTTGTTTTCTATAATCTGAGCACAACGTGGCATGACATCATTTGAGGTAAAGACATCTGTGACTGCCTTTACAGTTCTCTGGGAAGATAAGTATCCTTCTTAAGGGTCAGTTGATGTCCCAAGAAAAAGTTGAAGCAGGAGTTTTTTCAATAATGTGTTTCATGTCATTTATAGTTTCATTAAGTAGGCTATTTTCAACCTGTACAGATGTATGTTAGTTTAGAGCACTACTCAGTTTCTATTTTACTTTGCCAGATTACCAAGAAAAATACCAAGAGCTGCTTGAAAGAGAAGATTTGTTTCCAGATTATGAAGAAAATGGAACAGATTTATCAGGACCTGGAGATCCGTATGTTTTCTTTTTGAGTTATAGTATTTTTTTAATACTAGTTATTTTTACTGTAGACTTAGGAATCCAGCCTTGAAAAACAGGAAACTAAATAATATTATTTAGCTCTACAGTGGAAGTTACGTATTTGTTCAGGTGTAAGTTGCTTTGTAATCAAACAAGTTTGAAACAGATTTTATATTTTTCCAACTGAGTAGGGTAATTAAATTTCAGATATTTATGCACATGTACAAACATACTGTCTTCTGCATTTAAGTAAAAATAAATTTGCAATCAAAATGAAGGACCGGATCTTCAAGTGCTGGTAGTGGGGCAGCCTGAATTCATTTGACTGATGTGCATACTCATCCCAGCTAGAGATGATTAGCAAATTTTCAGAGGCTTTCAAAGGGAGGAGGTCAAGTTTCTCTCCTCAGAATAAATAGTATTCCCTCAATTAAATGGCTATTCAGTATTCCTGTAGAACAAGAAAAGCAACCTCATGGCAAAGAAGGAATCAGCAGATGGCAAGGTAGTCCGACTTTCAGACACCAGTTTATAAGAATTTAATAGGAAAGCAGTGAAAAGAAATATGGCCTAAAATAAATTGCTCTGAGCTTTATACTCACCTGATTGAAGGAAGGCTTTGAGATCATGATTTGATACCTAGGAACATTTTCAGTGTTGTGTTGATGTGTGGTAATAGTGCTGGCCTGGATCAATACTTCCATTAGTAAATCAGAAAACTTTTAGATAGAGCATAGCTGAGGGGAGCAGCAAGAACTTTGTCAGATGAAGTAGAGATGTCATCAGAAATTAACAAACTCATACTATGGAGGGGAAAAAATAACCATGTGAACTGCTGTGTTTAGAAGAACAAATTAATTGCAAAATGGAGACAGACAACAGTTAAAAAAACCCAGCAAATCCAAAGAGTGACATGTGGAAGACTCTGAGTCAGCTTTCCTGCAAGGTGACTGTGGAACCTGCTTTGTTGAAGGCTTAAGAAAAGCTTAGACAAATGTATCTTGATCCTGTCAGCTATTTCTCATAACTGACATCAGGGAGACAGGTTCTATGTTGCGTCCCTTCTCCAGTGTACGCTTCTATGAGAAAGGAGGAACAAATAGTATAAATCTGTAGATTGCTTCTTCAATGCACAATACTGAAGAAAAAATACTTTCCTTACATGTTTTTGTGGCACTTACTGTGGTTTTGTGTGAAACCCACAATTTATAGCTTCTGAGCAGATGAGGCATGCTGATTCCCTTGTTTGGAACAAAGGCACAGAAGATAATAAACTGAGCACCTGAAATTAGTGCATGTTACTTGAGAGTCAGTAGCTGTTTTTTTGCTACAGCTGACTGTTTTTTTTAAGGCTATTTAGAATTATATGCACTTACCATGTTCAAGCTACAGCTCTATTGTCCTAGTTTATGGTGATGAACACTTCAGTTCCTTGTTTTCTCTAGGTCCACTCAAGTTATTTCCCAGTAACTGTGGGGAGAAAGAAAGCTGAAGTGATCCCCATCACTTCCCAGCTTTATTTTGAAACTCTATGGTTGTCTCCACGCTGTGCAATATTTACTATCGCTATTGGGATCCAGTCTTTTCTGTGACCTAAATAAGACAGTTCTTTTCCAAAAGACTGGTAACTATATAATAGGAGGTAATATAATGCAATAGGGAGGTGAACTAAGGTTGCCTTCTTTCATATATCAACAAATAGGAATGCAGATTTCCTATATAAATATATTCTTTGACTATTGTGCAGCCAAGACAGTTGATGCAGTATTTAAGCGAGGATGTTGACCAACCAAAAATGATGCTCATTATAAGCTAATTACGTTTTTTGCAAATAGCTCAATACAGATGCATTATTAAATTTTGCAAAGCTTGGATTGCATTACTGCATTTTCTATCATCTCGGTAACTATTTCTGTCTTTTAAACTGTGGACAGATTAAGGTGATCTAAAATGGTGACAACACTGCAGCTATTTGTACATATATATGCTGCTTTGAGGTTTCTGTTTGTTTTCCTAGTGCCAATGAATTTTTTTCCTCTTGATCCTCTTTAAGAAACTGTCATCGTTAACTGCCATTTATAAAGCTCTGTTTTAGTCATAACATCTACGTAAATGTTTCTGAAAATCTGTACAAAAACTTAACACCTTTGGGGTTTGGTTTTGTTTGGTTTTTTAGGTATTTTGATGACATTGATGATGGGATGGATCCAGAAATTGAAGAAGCATATGAAAAGTTCTGTCTAGAATCAGAACATAAGAGAAAACAGTAAGATGTTACACAATAATGTTAGTTTATTAAGCCAGTTTGGGTATGGTTAGAATACAGGGGGACACAACACATTTGTACCAAAATAATGAATTTGAGTTAGATTTCTAAGTACTAAAGTTATACAATTTCAATTTTGTTTAACAGAATCTGCCAAAAATTGTAAACTTATGCCCTGTAACTTAAAATTTTGTGTATATATCATAGTTTATGTACAGGTATATGAACAATGTTTTGGCTGCAATAAAAACTATTTAAAAGTTATCATAATTGAAATTAAAATTTAATGGGAAACTGTCCCAATAAAGGGAGAAAGGGGAAGAATAACTTGATCTAAATTTGTTTTCTTGCTTTAGTACATATTGGGGATATCTTATATTTAATTTTTTCTTTTCTTTTTTTTTTTTTTTTTTGCTGAGGAGAGTATGATCCAAATATGGAATTTTTTTTCTGTAGATCACAATCATGAGAAGTGGTTTGTGAAGATTGTGTTTTGTGTGTGGTTTTTTTTGTTTATCTCCTTTTTCTTCCTCTGCCGAAACCCAAATGGGTGAGGTCTGGCCTTTTTTTTCTGGAATAAACATGTTATATGTTGACATGTGGAAAAGCAAGCAGTATTTTGGAAGTTGGGTGCTTTGAAGATCTTTGGTTCAGATAAGTTTATTTTCAACTTTTAAAAGCAAAACCTATCCTTTAATTTGTTGTGTTCTTCAAGACTATATGAATATAGTTATGCTTTAGCCCATGCTTCTCAAGAGTATGTGCAGTGCTCAATTTTTTATTTTATTTTATTTTTTTTTAATGTATCTAACATGTCTAACCTTCTGGCAACCTTTGTAACTTTCTCCATTCTTCTAGTTTTATGTAGTTTGATTTAATTTTGTAGCTGGAGTAAATTCATATATTTCATGAATGTTAACATTCTGAAGCCAACTGCTCTTTCTTGACCCCATATAATCATGTTAGTTTTCCTAGGGTACTCCATTGTTGTTGCCAAACTCAGTTGTACTGTTTTCTGTTATCTGTTACTGGTTAGACTGAGTAGAATCCCTTACCAAAAACAAATGGAAATATTTCCCAAAAGTTATCTACTGTAAAGAACATGTTGTACATATACATGTAAATAATTCTGTTAATATTTCACTGTTATTTGTTTGGTTAAATAACTTGTGCATCTGCTAATAGAGTGAGCACTGACTGTTTTCTGGATCTTTATTTAACATACTTATTTAGGTTGGAGTTTTGGAAAATAAAATTTAACTAGCTTTGTTTCCTTTGGTATCATTTCACTACTTTGCCTTTTTGCTTTTAAAAAAAATGATTTTTTGGTCCTTCTTCTATCTTCTCTTCATCTAACACTCCTTTTTTTTCTTTAAAGTACACAGTTGCAGAAAGTATTCTCTTTTAAATACTCATCAGAAAAATAAAATTTATCAAATGGCAATATGGTCATAAGAACTATATTACCACTTCGAAGTCTCTAGACTAAAATCTAGAAAGTAGAAAAGTGAAAATTCAGTTAGATCATTTTCACACAAACATTCTCTAACCTTGAGCATATTTTTCACACAAAACTTTCAATCCAAATACAGGTCAGAGTTCCTTCTGCTGACTTTACAAGCATGTCTAGTGGAAAACATACTTACTCAAAGCATAAAGACCCAAGGAACAAGCAGTCATATATGCATTGTAGTAAAGTAATAGTGTTTTCAAGGGATTCTGCTTTACAATTTTACAAAAAAATTGTAAATTTTTTTCATTTTACATCTTTTGTAGTGGTTTTTTTTTCTGTGAAGTAGCTGTCAGCTTATGGAGACAGTCTTACATGAAGATAAGAAATATGCCATGTCATTTTGTACAAAAATATTGGGATCTAGGAATTAGTGTATATAAAGCAATTCAGATCCAAGTTTGAAAAATAAGCTTTGTCTTCTACCAGAAATACTGAAAAATCATAAAGTGAGACTTGTTCAAAGTAGCAGGGAAGTTTGTGGTCTCTGTATGTATGAAGCTTTCTAAGAGCTTTAACCCTGTATTGCAATAAGGAAAAATTGGTTTAAGCTCTGTCCTGCTGAGTAAGGAAGACAGGATAACAAGGACAGAGAGAGATCAGCAGTTACCATCATGGGCAAAAAAGACTGGACTTGGGGAAATTAGTTTATTACCAATCAAATCAGAGTAGGGTAATGAGAAATTAAAACTAAATCTTAAAACACCTTCCCCCCACCCCTTCCTTCTTAGGCTCAACTTCACTCCAGATTTTTTCTACACCCTCCCCCTAAGTGGTGCAGAGGGACAGGAACTGGGGTTGCAATCAGCTCATCACATGTTGTCTCTGCCACTCCCTTCTCCTCAGGGGAAGGCCTCCTCACACTTTCCCCTTCTCTAGTGCAGGGTCCCTCTCAGAAGAGAGTCCTTCACAAAATTCTCCAACGTGGGTCCTTTCCATGGGCTGCAGTTCTTCACAAGCTGCTCCAGCATGGGTCCCTTCCACAGTGTGCAGTCTTTCAGAACAGACTGCTCCAGAGTGGATCCCTCACAGGGTCACAACTCCTGACAGCAAATCATAGAATCATAGAATGGTTAGGATTGGAAGGGACCTTAAGGATCATCTAGTTCCAACCCCCCTGCCATCAGCAGGGACACCTTCCACTAGATCAGGTTGCTCAAAACCTCATCCAGCCTGGCCTTAAACACTTCCAGGGAGGGGGCATCTACAACTTCCTTGGGCAACCTGTTCCAGTGTCTCACCACCCTCACAGTGAAGAATTTCTTCCTAATGTCTAATCTAAACCTGCCCCCTGCCAGTTTAAACCCATTTCCCCTTGTTCTGTCATTAACTTCCCTTATGAAAAGTCCCTCCCCAGCTTTCTTGTAGCCCCTTCAGGTACTGGGAGGCCGCTATAAGATCTCCCCGGAGCCTTCTCTTCTCCAGGCTGAACAGCCCCAGCTCTTTCAGCCTGTCTTCATAGGAGAGGTGCTCCAGCCCGCAGATCATCCTGGTGGCCTCCTCTGGACTTGTTCTAGCTGCACCAAGTCTCTCTTATGATGGGGGCTTCAGAACTGGATGCAGTACTCCA